AGCATGGAGCATACATTAAAGAATTGGGAACGGAAACTGTGTGACTTGATCTCTCTCTGCATTTTTTCCACTGCTGGTTTAGATGAATCAATAGAAGGCATATTCATTTAGGTTACAGAAGACAACTTAAACAATTTAGAATTCATGTTGGTAATGACCGGTGCTTCTTGCTTTTTATGTTTTTTTCCCCCAGTAAAATATGAAAGAATCAAATTTCTGGTAATTGCTTTGAAGAGTTCTGTGGAAGTCTATGCCTGGGCACCCAAGCCATGTCACAAATTCATGGCCTTTCAGGTAAGAACATCAAGTGCATTTAAAAGTAGTATCAGCCGTGCAACTGTGACCAAGAGCCAGGGAGTAAGTTTAAAGAGTCTGTATAGTTCAGATCCATAATATGAAAGCTAATGATAATATAAGAGCTAGTGTAGCATCTAACTTTATCATAANGAAGAGTTCTGTGGAAGTCTATGCCTGGGCACCCAAGCCATGTCACAAATTCATGGCCTTTCAGGTAAGAACATCAAGTGCATTTAAAAGTAGTATCAGCCGTGCAACTGTGACCAAGAGCCAGGGAGTAAGTTTAAAGAGTCTGTATAGTTCAGATCCATAATATGAAAGCTAATGATAATATAAGAGCTAGTGTAGCATCTAACTTTATCATAAGAGGTCATTTTTAATGGAATAAGCTTAGTTAACTGCTTTCCCAGCCCTCAGAGTGTGAAAGGGAGCGAGCTGGATGTTGGGCAGACACTTTGATTGATGTGCCAATATGGTAACACAGGAAAAGACAAAACAACATCACTTCCACTCTCCATTTAAAAAGCAGACCTCAAATTAAGTCATGGATTTGTATCAAGATTTACATGTGTTTTTGATAACAAAAAAGTGTCCAACAACAGGCAGTTTTAAGGTGTATCTGTTCAATAGAGTACTAGTTAAAAATTAAATTATAGAAATTCTTAATGATATACATTAAATGGAAAAAGCAAGTTAAAAGTATGTGTAATATGATACCATGTTTGTTTAAATTAAGAAACAGTATATAACATCCAAACTAACCTATAAACTCAGATGGTTTTGCCATTTTGCCTGTACACAGTTTTAGGAAAGGAAGTGAATGAACACTTTGTTTTAAAATTAGGATTGTTTCCATTTGTGGCTTTACACATATACGTGTAATTGTGGTTGTAAACCTACCTCACTTTGACTGGTGGTTAGGTTTCTAAAGAGTTGCAAATAAAACAATTTTTTAAGTAAAATTAGAGGTCTTTAATGTGTTTAAGTAAAGTTCTTTAGCAGATCTCCCCCCCAAACCCATAGAAAATTAATAGTCAATGTCTTTTTGATAATTTATTATAGAATGTGTACTAAATACAACTTTATGAAATTCTTAATTAAAATTGACATTACTCTGACATTGAATATAACAAATAACTTAATGACATCATTTCTAATACTAAAGATAAAAACTTAATCATAGCTCCTGGGGCCATTTTAGTGCATGGCAAGAAATTAAGAATTTTTCACCCAAAATTCTTATTTTTGATTTAAATTCTTTTTTGCTTATTTTAAAAAATAGTTTGAGTATGTCTTATTGAAAGGATAAGTTTGAGTTATTCAGAAAATTTAAATTTTTGTATTGCTTATTGCTTGATTCACCAGTAAAGCAGGATAAATGGGCTTACTGTACTTTTTAAAAAAAATAAACCTAAGTATGTTGAAGAAAGATAATTGGTTCTCAAATTACATTAACCTC